TGTAAGAAATGACTGCTTGCTAATTGATGTGGCATTTATTCAGTGTGTATAGGATTTGGATGAAGTTTATATTATAACCAACTGTTAAGTGTAGTAGATAAGAGCCCCTGAGAAGTGTTTAATATGTACCCCTAACCCTGCTCTTAAGTATAGTGATAACCCAGGGCTGCCATTCCTGGACCTGGAGGGCCAGTGTGTCTGTAGGTTTTCATTGCAACTCGGCTCTTAATAAGATAAATTACCTTGTTAGTGGCATAATTGCACCTGTTTAAAAGCATTTCCCAGCTCTTCAAGTGCTTCAGCTTTAAAGAGAACAAGAGAACCTTGCACCCACACACCAGGCCCCCGGGACCAGAACTGTACAGCCCTGCCTGCACCACAGCAGTTGCCTGTAGGCTCATGCTTAACCCTCTCCCTGCCATTGTGAGAGGTCCCAAAATTAACAGTGCCTGAACATAAATGCCTATAACGTATCCATGGCAAATCTTAGTTAAATGCCATGAAGGTACAATTATTTATGTCTGGTTTATTGCTCTAATATCATTTCATGTTTAAACGTCTCTGCGATGGACTGGTGTCCTGTCCAGGGTGTAGCCTGCCTTGCACCTGTTGCTTGCTGGGATAGGCTCCGACTCCCCGTGACCCTGCATGGGAAGAAACAGAAAACAGAAGGATGGATGGCTGGTGTGAACTTCTTTTTTTCAGGTTGCCTTTCAGAGACTTATAAATATGCAAATCTCTTGTTCACCAATGCTACTCATTAATTAATTGCATCATAAATGTTGTTTTGTGAAACTATACTTATTTGACAAAGGGAGCCACCTGCTACATTTATTGAACAGGCATCCCAGCAACGGGGAGTTCAGACATCTAGTTCATTAAGTGTGAATTCGTGTTTTATGCATACTGAATTCAACAATGTAGAAGAGAGAACCATATACACTATAGTTCAGGTGGGTAGCTGCATCAGCGTGCGTAGGCTGCAAGGGAACAAGTAACAGGTTTATTCCATGCTGAAAAGAGAAGAGAGAAAACACAATGTTTCGGCTGTGAAGCACCAGGAATAAACCTATTACTTGTTCCTTTATATACACTATAGTCAAGGTTGAGAGATTTAATGCAAATAAAAGTGAGCAAATCCAACTTAGTGCAAGTTCACAGTGATATACTAACAGCGATCCATTCAATTTACAAATGGGCCAGAGACATACAGTGTATTTACATACAGTACAGCACCAAAACACTAGCTGAGCAGGGTATGGAATGAGTTCTACATGGCTTTGAAATATTAAGAGCCTAATCCTATCCTGTTGTTCTGTCATGATTACCTTCTGCTGAGCTGGAGATAAGCATAATGGTGTGTGGGAGTGCAAAGCATTTTATAACTGTACTCTGCACCGTTCTCCTGAGGGAAAAGGTGATGGGGAACTTGTGTCACTCAAGCCAGCCGCATATTGCCTGGCTGGTTCTATATCTTTCACGAAGCTTCTCTAGTGGTCTGATCCTTTTCTACTGGGACCAAGTCGAGAATTTCCTTAGTCTCCGATGTACATCCATTCATGTGCCCAACCCATCACCTTTTCAGTTTCCAATCGTGCCACCAGCTCTTGTTCAGTCCCTTACTTGTTTTCTCTGTCCCACTCTGTTGTTCCCCTTATTTTCTAGTCATCAGGTTTAAAAATGAAGTGCACTATAGAACAAACATGGACGTATTCAGACATTGTCCCTCTAAAGAAGCCACATTAAAGTGGTGAATGCACACGGATTGCTTTGGCTTTTTGCAAAGAAATATCTCAAGTGAGCAGAAATTAAAGTCTTAGCTAGTAATGTTTTTTTTTCTATACCTGTCACATGACACAATTTCTAAGTGCAAAACTGATACCCTTTTGTAATAGCAGCAGTTGAAAAGGAGCAGTACGTCTCGGAGCCTGGAACTGAATGTTAAAAGCAGGATGTTGCTGCTTCTCTGATGGTGAGATATGCAGTACATCTTTATGAAGTGATCTCAAGAGCTGTGTGTTCAGCTGGACAGCTGAACCAGAAGAGTGAGACCGCCATGTCTGGAAGAGGGTGTTTTCTACAGCTCAGTCCTGGCTGGTTGCCTGAAGCCTAGCTGCTTCAGTGAAGTCTGAGTGAGGGTCAGTGCGAGGGTGCTGCTACCACAGCCCAGCAGCCAGGAAGAGGCAGGTTCCGATACACAGTATAATGCTGTGGAAATCGGAGATGCTTTTCAAAGCGACAATCCTCCCTGGCCCCTCCAGACTGATAACGGTCATTATTAAGGCTTTAGAACAGGGGTTCCCAGTCCCGGTGACCCACACCTGTTGGTTGCTGTTCCAGCTGAGCCCTCAGTTACACAATCTGAGCCTTCATTGGCTCAATAATAATAAGAAGAAAAATATTCATTTGAACTGTTTGTTGCCGGGTCTTCAACATGTTGGGGGACTTAACTGCCATTTTGTAAGTGAAATAAAAGCCCAAGCTTGGGACTAGAAACAAAATGCATATGTTCAACTGAGGCAACTTCTTAGATCAAGTCAGGCCTCAATGATCTGACGAAGGTGTGCTGGAATGAAATCCAGCAGGTGTGTGGATGACCAGGACCAGGACTGGGAACCTCTGCTTTCGAGAGTCACATGGATGCTAATTAAGTTCTAAGCATTTAGGGAAAAACATGTGACGTGATAACAGGATAACTGAAGCAACTGTCAGTTCTGTAATGTCAAGTAATGTTGTTGGCACATCTAATGCATGGTTAAATATTATGCACTTAACACGGATAGCCTATAGTATTTTTGGGGTGATTTTATTTCATAAATAAAATGTAGCTACTTAAATTATTATTTTTAAATCTCTCATTACTTCATTACTGTGACGTGAACGTGCAGACTATTTCTGGAAATGTTTCCAGCAGTGGATGCATAAGCAAAATGGATCAATGCAAAAACAGCGAGTCCTTCTGCGACACGGCGAAGATGATGCACTGAACGCCTCCAGCCGTTGCCAATGACTGCTTCTCAACCCCTTTTCACTTCCCAAACACTGGGGTTTCCGGCGCTCAGTCCGCCAGTCCCCGGGGAGTCTGCGGCGGTACCGGGGCTCCATGGCAACACGGCCTCAGCAGCTCCTGTACAGAGTGTGAGCCGGCGAGTGCAGCTCCTCTCCCCGAGCAGAGGCAGCCCAGAGCATGATACCTTACCCTCCAGTCTGTCTGGCCTTTACATTTCATTTAGCAAAATTCATCTGAATGACCTCCGTATACCTTTCTTTGTGTTTTTTTTTAGAAAATGTTGGCCTTTACTCTAGTTTTGTAAGCTATGGAACAACTTACTGGAGACATATTGAGCATTGTAGGAGAAACACAAATCCACACCTTTATTTCTATGATATTGTACAAAACACTTTATGAAACAACTGAAATCTTTAATGTGATTTTAACAACAGAGGACTTGAATACCAATCTAAAGAACCCTAATGTTTACATGAGAACATAAGAAGGATCTCAACTGAGACCGTTTTTTTGTTACCACTTTTGAAGAGGATACTCGAAAATAACTTTTGGCATGTTCTAAAATCGGACTCATTTGTCCGCATCACTTTAAAGCTTTAGATCAGCATAGTTTGAAAGAAAAAAGACGTGATGCACTCTAAATATTGTCTGTAGTGAGACATAAAGCAAAACCATGTACGGTGTTTCTCAGTATATTTTATTAAGAAGAAAACACACATTCTTTTAAATGTATTTACCACTTTTATTTCACTAATGCGGAAACACACATTCAACATGTATCATATTGCAGCTGATGACAGGATGGGGACAGAATATCCTTCATGTAGATCATTAGATACCATGAACACTAATGCAGATTCAGAACTGGCTGGAAGGTCCCGTCTGTACAGTTTAAGGCTTGGCTGTGTCACTACGAAGTGAATGTCAAGTGAATTCTGGGACTCCACAGCTATTGTCTTTGACTAGACAGGTGATGATAAACAAAATCGATATACAGTCTCAAGTAAACATACTCGTAATGTAAGCTATGTTACACAGTCTGTTCTTCCTGCAGCACAATCTTATTCAGAGATTATCTTTCTTTCTCTAATACAGAAATATTCTATATTGAGCCTTCACAGCTTAGAATGGAATTTAGTGGAAAAAAATTCAATGATTTAAGTAAAAATGACTAACTCATGATCTAAGAACAGTATCTTTCTGCCTAAGAAGCACATGTATGTACCATATTATGTCCTTTACAATGTTAAGGTTCACTGTTGTTTAGCAGGCAATATTAGGAAAATCAGATAGAATCCAGTTACAAGGTTCAAGGTGTTGAGAGTAAACAGATATGAGCTCAGTAATGTTGTTGGCACATCTAATGCATGGTTAAATATTATGCACTTAACACGTATAGCCTATAGTATTTTTGGGGTGATTTTGTTTCATAAATAAAATGTAGCTACTTAAATTATTTTTTTTTCTCTCTCATTACTTTCTAAGGCAGTGAGTAAAAATTTTAATTATTTAATTCCACTGCCTTTTGCATGACCGTGCAGGTACAGTATATTAAGAACCTGGATAATTATTCTTTTAATTTTCTACATTTTTTTTTAAAAAAACCAATGCAGCATTGCTTCATTTCCATGCAATATGCATTTTCCAATACTTAATTTGATTGATTGAGTTACTTAAGCCAGTGTCCATAACATGACTGTGGAAGGTGATTAGTTCTATAATGTGCTCCAATGCAACGAGAGTGAGTATTGGCTTGTGAAGTCAAAGCCGACTCCACACAGGCATCCTTTATTCCTAATGATGTGAAAACATTTCCTCTGAAGTGTAGGCTTTAATCCTAAAAACGAAGAGAAAGGAACAAGTAAATACAAGTAAATACAAGAGGAACTAATAGCGTTCAATCCAAACCAGTGGCAAATGTCTTGTGGGAATCAAAACATCTAATGTCACGCATTAGAAATCAATTAAGTACGTATTAGTTACAGACCTGTCAGTATCATTATTTGCATGATGTAATAATTTTATTAATTAATATCGGGGTGCTATTAAATTACAGTGCAACACATTTAAGGACAGCTGTCACAGTTTCTCAAAACTTGGCTTCATACAATGCCACACGTTTAAAGGAGTATAAAAAAGTCAAGTATCTGGAATTTTGCTTTTCTTTTTAATCATATTAGCAGCTTTGGTCACTATGCCTAACCCTCACCAAAGTCTGTATAAAGGCTAGGGCCAGATTTTGGGAAAAGTCATTTGTTCAGTTAAGGGAAAGCAGCACAGAGAAGAAACAATACAATACAAAAGAGCCTGAGTTTTGGCCCCAGTATATCATCTTGAGTCATCACTACTGTTACTAGATCAATAGTATTAACGTCGGGTGATGAGATTAGTGGAGTACCTCAGTACCTAGTGTAGACTCTTGGTCGCCACATTATAGAAAAGATATTGCTGCTGTTGCATCAGTCCAGAAAAGAGCGATCAAGTATATTCCAGGGCTTAAGGACACGCCCTACGCTAAAACTGAATGAACTGAAACCCTTTTAGATGTAAACAGAGAAGGGGACCCAATTCAAGAATTGCAAGGGAACCTGATATCCTCATAGGCACTGAAAATTTAAATCCAGCAGATTTGTTTTCAAAATGAAAAGTAAAAACTGAACCAAAACACTCAAAAGGCGACTACATGGAAGTGCATTTTATAGGAAATACAGTACAGAACAGGAGATCCTTTACCCAAAGGGTGAAGATTGGCCTCTCAAGAAATGTCTGAATGAGATGCTTTGGTTCAACTAGTTACTATGAAATAAGATAGATGGGTCAAATAGCCTCACATTTGTAATCTTTCTTGCATTCTTATTTCATGGTCTTTCAAGATAATTACTATATTTATCATCATAAAGGTGTTCTTGCTACGGTTTCTCATTATACTCATTTAGCAGAATTACAGGTACTTTAGTTATACAATCCTAGCAACATGTGGGTACATAATAGGGTTACAAACTGTAATAGCTGTCCTTTAACACCTCTGCTGACCTGTCCTGTTTTTGGACTAATATGCATAGAGAATGCTAACAAGTATTAGTTTTTACAAAAAATGATCTCACACTACACATTTCTCACACAGCCAAGGAAACTAACCAACTGATTTATGGATCTGAAAATGTTCTGGGATAAAATCTCTGACACTCACAGTTATAGAATTTGGAAACTGTCTGAAGCATAAACACAATTTAGGTTCTTTAAATAACAACACAATGTCAAATTATAAATGTGCTATTAACTGTATAACAAAACTACCCAAATGTTTTAGAGGTTTAAAAGAAAGCAGTTTCTGCTTTCTGTTTTCTTCATTTTCACCTTTTTTATTGTATTTGTTTGGTTATCAATAAAATGTAATAAAGTGCAACTCGAAAATTCTCTGGATTGAAAGGTACTTTCTAAAAATAAAAATGATTGATTTGCAGTCACAGTTGTGATCGCTCTTCTGTAATTATTCAGGCCTGATCCTCAGTGGTCCTCTGATGGGGTAAGGTATATTCTTTCACAAATGATGAGAATCAGCTACATACCCTGTACGACTGTTTAAATACTCAAAAGCTTAACATTTTAAGATCTTACTTTTTTCAAACAGCCAATTTTTTAACACATATAAGCTAATTAAAAAAGCATGCATAATACACTTGCAGAAAATAAAAAGCAACTTGACCAGCACACAGTATTTGCCCCTCTTCTGAGCATGCCTCTAATGAGCTGAACTGAATTACAGTAGCACTTATGTACAAAATCACTTTCAAACCAACACAAAGCACAATTTTGCAAAAGCAGAAGGCAGAGTGACACCTTCCTTATTACTTTCAGCAAAATGTTTGCATTTGTTCCTTCAAGAGACATCATGCAGTTAAAACCAAATTAGAACGATTCAAGGCTTCAAAATGTTCTGCTCTGACTTCACATTTGAAGCAAAAATGAGATGCTTTCTTAAACAAAGTTGGTTAGTGCACGTTCAAGTCAATGTGAACAAAGCCTTTATCACAAGAAAGCTGTAGAGAAATCAAATAAGGGGTTGATTAATACAAGCAAAGACGACTGGCAAAGGTTTGGAGCACAAACATAATGAAACAAAAGCTGCCCCCTGAACACCTCTAACTGGCATAAAGCTCAGCAAAGAAAAGTAAAATAAATTAAATGTATTTGAATTTTGGAGCAATGCTAAAAGGGTCTGTTTTTTTCTTTCACCAATCAATGACTGACCACTTCCAACTGCGGTCATTTAGAAGAAAAAAATGCAAAAGAAGAAACGTTCTTGGATTCTGCTCGGTTTTTGCCAGGAAGAGGTGCTGAGGCCCAAGTCAATGGATGGGATGTGGCCCTGCTGCATGCTGACCAGTGCTGCATTCCTCTTACCTGCCATCACTCCTCCCCATCCTCTGGCGTGATCTCTGTCTCTTTATGAACCACTACTTTGGTCACTGACATGTCAGGGTGTTGCTCTTTGGCTTCTTTAATTGCCTGAGCCAGGGCCTAGCTCAAGGAGACCATTGGTGGGGAAACAAAGAGGAGGTGGAACGTGCATGATCAGAAGCAGGGTGGAGATTCATGGTCATTTACATCATTTACACATGAGTGAAATTAAGACAATTAGCATCTCAAAAACCCACAAAAAAAAGGAAAGAATCACCACCTCAAGGAGCATGCGCATTGTAACAAGGGTCTTTCTCGTACCTTCCTTTTGTAAGGATTTTCTCAAAACACGAATGATTCGGATGGTTCGGGATACTGAAACACAACAGCGCTGTGACTGTTAACCCCTACCTGGTCGTGGTCAATATCGGCGTCGCCAGTGATGACAATCCTCTTCTCGATCCTTGTTTCCGAGATGCCGCCCTTCACAGTCTGCAGGGGTTTGCAATAGATAGGACACACTTCTCAACCGGGGAATCACTGTGGTTTTAGATTCCACACAATACTGCTGGAGTCAGCCACAGCAGTGTGGCGCCATGGATACTCATCTTCCTGTTGGCTTCAGCTGGCCATAACTGAAATGGCTTTGCTTTCTTAGAAATAACTGTGTCAATGCTGGTGCTATTGCAATGGTAATTACACAATTCCTTCAGTTTTTAATAAAGTCTTTCACAGTAATTGTAAAGATATTTTCTATTAAATCATTTTAATACCAGCAAGGAAAAACTTATTAAGTGATAACTTAATGCACTATTTCTTTCTGGAAATGATGACAGAGATTCGTGGACTGAAATTCCTTTAAACTCTTCAATTATAACCGATACCGCAGGGCTTTTAGCGTTCAGATTTTCCAGCTCAAACCCATTTTCTAACTGGAGCTCTTTCTCACCTTTGTGATATGTGTAGTAGTGGTAGTGCTTGTGGTCTCTGAAGTGATGGTCTGGGCACTCATCAACACCCCAGGCTCAGCATCGCCCGCGGTGTCTCCCTGAACAGACCAAGGCAACACACAGACTGTCACCAGACCAGTGGCTTTTCAAACCTTTTCCAAGATATCCAACAAAACCGGCTGCAGCTCTAGACTTCACCGTTCACCCTCACCCTGCTGCAAGACACAGCTCTAAACAGACTGCAACAGTGCACGATGTTCCACACAACACCACTGCAGCTTTTCTCCGGTCACTGCTCTGAGCCTGATAAAATAATACCAAAAGGTCCTTTTTTTTTTACTGGTTATTTAGATAGAAGAACCTATCCTATAAGAATATAATTTTCGCACAAAAATTCTAGATGATTTTACTGTTAAAACAACAAACACTTCATTCTATAACTTAACAGCAGAAATCAGAAGTACAACTGCTAATGCCGGCTGCATGACTTCAAATACCTGAACAATACCACTCGACTGACAGTCCTCTGTCCAACCAATACCCACCTGGGAGGATTCGTATGTAATTGTTTTAGTTTCTGTGTGAATTACGGGCACATCCTTGGTCGCTATTTCTCCTCTCTCCTCCAGTGTTGAAGTGATAAAGCTTACAGGTTCCGTTTTCACAACCAGTGGCTGTTGGAATCGACAAAGACAACCGTCAAATTTCTCTGAGAATTCGGATTTATAGACCTTCGCAAACCTAACCACACGGATCCCTATGATCTGTGGTCAGACTACACTGACGGGACCTCTACGGATGTTCCTGTCTGCTCATTTGCGATGAACATACGGCAGAGCTGCATTGTACAAAACGATAATGCAGATTACTGCAGTCGTAGGCACAAGACTCTAAGGATAATGTTCAAATGTAGGCAATCCTTTGCGATTAATACTAGCGCAGTAGCCTAATCAAAATGACACAAGGCGTTTAAAAATGCAGAAACCAAGCACTGCGTGAGACAGTTCTTAATGCAGGACTGTTGCGTTTGCCAAAAGTCTGGGTAAGTCTTTAGGAACATTTCCTAAAAAACCCAAAAGCGAACTGAAATCCTAGAGGACCTGGAAATTTGATGACTTGGATAAGGAGTACCATTACCATAGCTATTCTTACACTTGTTTGCCTGCACCACGCTCCCCGAGCACCAGATCACCACCGTCACGCCCCCCTGTCTGTCAACCCGTCCTGATCCTCTATGTCTCTTCCCTGTTGTCCTTCTCCACTTTCTTCCAGATTATACTGTCTGCATAGGGTCCTGAACTACGCTTTACCGGCTCCTATTACGTGATCATTATTCTATTCTCTTTAAGGTACAGTAAGGTTTCAAGATTGGTGGAGCACGAGCACGAGCACCTTCTCCTCTGTCAGCGTCTTCGTCACGGCCTGCTCCTGCTGGAGGAAATCTTGCTTCAGCGTGCTGGCGAAGCTTTCCCTTTCCACCTTCGTCTCCGACGACTGGAAGACACAGGCAAGCGAACGCACGAGTCACACACAGAGGCCTGCACAGCTACTACGGCCGGGGAAATCCGGGACGGCTGGAAGGGCATCACTCTAAAGGTGTTCAACTTGAAGGCTGGCAAGACTAAGGAGATTTGCGAGACGGGGGAAGGTAATCCTCAATCCCATGGAATCGGGAAGAAAGCTGTAATCTTCTAAAGACATTCTGTGCAGCTTCTGATGAACAATTCCAGATTCACTCTGTCCTGTTCATCAGTCTGAGTAAATTTTAAAGATAGGCACTATCCTCATGAACAACGCACTGCGTATTTAAGAGTATTGATGTGACACACTTACCTTCTAGCCATGTATTTCATTTGTAACCGATTCATGTGTTGAAATATACTGTCCCAAACATAAATGTCTGAATTTGTTAAATTGCCATTTTGTTTTCATACTGCTGACATAACCCAGGTATTTTCCAAATTAAGGGAAACCACTGCCACAACAAACTCAGATAAGACTGCAGATCAAGCTGTATTTTTTTAGTATAAATACTGTATATTATCACTCATCACTGTCACCCTAAATAACCAATGTAAGATATTTCTGCATGTTCTCCACAAAAATACAAATAAAGGAGTCTTGTATTTATTCCAACAAATATAGTGATTAGTTTTTCAGATTAAAGATGAAGTCCCTTAAATACTTGCTGGATTTCAAAAAGGAGAAAAAAAAGAGAACTCCTCTTCAAGGCAAAATGATGCATGCTCATATAAATACATGTGCGATATATAAAAAAACAAACGTGACAACAGTGGGCTTCAGAGTGTAGCCATACAGTGTGATACTATAAGCTGAATGCAGAATTAACCACCTGAGCCCAACTATGTGAAGCAGAAGTGGCCCATCCCATACTGCTGATTTGATCTCTTGCTGACTCTATTAAAGTGGAGATGTCTTTATCCAAGGGCATTTCACCAGTCTGTTTAGTCTAAGTGGACAAAGAAATGGACAGTCAACACATACAAGAATGAAGACATACACAGTAGGACAAAGAGTTCCTCCCATCCACACAAGGTTAAGACCAGATACAGTAAAGGTGTTTTGAGCCTTATTCATAAAAGGAGGTTCACATAGCAACTTGGATAAAAATAAGCTGTTAAACTGGCTGTTTCATCATCCACACTTACTCTTGAAAATGAAATGCAGCCAGTGAATGCTGAGAGGTCACTAAAGGAATGCTGCTCTCTTTTATCTCGTATTTGTGCTCCTTTAAAAGCCGTGTCAAATGTATGTGACACCTGCTACAGGTTACAAGAGTTCACATTTCACAAATACAAAGAGCTTTCAAATGAAAGTGGGTCCTCTGAAGTGCTTTTAGTCCTATTTTCTTTAAATCCGTATAGCACATTTTTGTATTCCAAGTAGACTGAAAGGATTATGAGGGAATTTTAGGTATCATGGTTTTTGTTCCCAATTAGGGTAATTCTACCAGTACACATATAAAACAGCCACCTTTTAACGATCAGAAAATTTAACTGGTTATTCTTTCTTGGCATCAGCAGTACCTTACTTGATGAACATTATTGTCAGCATTGCCTCTCACTGTCCTCTATTTCACATGATCTACAGGCAATGTGGAGATTTTTTAGTCAAGTCCATCCTCACGGTTTATTGCTCATTTACAAAAAAGCTAGAACACTGTCTCTTATGAATATGGCCCACGGAATTCAGAGCAAGGAAAAGCAGCAAGAGAAATTAGGAAGCACAATGTAGGGTAAAAAAAAAAACAAGTCTGAAGCAGTGCCAGGTTGTCAGGGGGGCGTGTCACTTCTGGAGAGCAAACAAACGAGTTTCGTATGCATAGCAGCCTGTGCGGCAGGGGACGCCTGCACCCGCAGAAACATCGGAAAGATCGACATGAAGGGGGGAGATGGCTTGTGCCTTGGGAGATCATGTTCAGCTTTAAAGCGGCCAAATGATGCCAGATACCAAAGGTGAGTGGGTTCTGTCAAAATACAAAAGCAAAGCTGCCGTGGGGCACCTCAAGCAATCGGAACTGGTCGCCAAATGCAAAGTGTTGGCTTAAGACTCATGCTGCAGATCTTAAATGGGGGAGGCTCGGGGGCAAGGTGGGTAAGACGGCGCATCGTATCAGCAGTCAAGCCAGCAGTTACCACCGTTCTTGAAGCAGACGAAGACTCTGTGACATAGCGAGCAGTAGCGACAGTAAACTGTTTTTCCCCGGGAGCCTTCCACCGCCCCAGGGTTTTGTCGGTCGGCATAACGCCCTCCATCACGAGGACCGTTCCTTCGGGCTGCTGGCCACCTCCCATCTCGTGACTCCGCCCCTCGAACCCGCCTTTCCTCCCACTCACTTTAAAGGCATCTGAGCCCAAGGCCATCTCCGCTTCCTGGATTACGATAAGCGTCCCCTTGTCTCCTGTCAAAGGCTTGTCCTCGGCAGAGGGGTCCAGAATCTCATACTCTGCCGACACGGGAATGATCTTAACCGCGGGGGAAGAGCGCTCCGCCTTTCTCTTCGGGTCCTGGGAGGTGAACTGAACGGATTTGTCACCGTCTTTGGCCCGAGTTGTCATTGTCACAATTTTCCCAGATGTGGTGTCATAGGATTTTCCCAAGGTGTACGTTTTCTGTTTCATCTCTTCTTCCTTAGACCTCATGTCACTCCGGAGGTCCTCGAGTGTTTTGAACTCGCCAGCGCTCTTTTCCCCAGGCAACGTACTGGTCACTGCCATTACTTTATAGGTCACAATGTTTTTCTTTTCACCTGCAGCTACTTTAGGAGGCATTTTGTCTACAATAACCCACTCATCAGAATCCTACATGTGGGACATAAACATTGCATTAGCCAGTTACCCTAATCTGAGCAGTATTTCTGATGCAGGCACAACATCAAAAAGAAAATTCCATGGAAAAATGCTGCAACAGAATTTGTTCAAGGAAAAACATGCAGCTGCTTGTGATCACTGTTTTAAGCTTTTTTTGTGCATGACATCCTGCAGGCCAAAATTACCTCTTTGTTTTTGTTTACAGACATCCTACATTAAAGGTTTCTGAAGACAGTACAGCAGGCAGTCACACTGTCTGTCTCAAAACTACAGTAAGAAATGTGTATTTAATCCCCTTACCAAGTAAACTTGGTAACAATAATAAATAATAAATTACATTTTTCTAGCATTTGGTTGAGCTATCAGTATCAATATATTTGCTCTAATATGAAGGAAAGGAAAAGAAACCTCAAGGGATGATGGAATAGTTTTCAGCATCTTAATATGGCGAGAAGAGGAGACGACAGAGCCAGAAGTCAAGGCCTCTCGGACAGTCTTGTCCTCTGGCTGGTGTGTGAAAATAGCAGGGTCAGTACAGCCGAAACAGAGAGGTTAGTTATGCTCCTTCTTGACCAGTGGATGCAAAACTAACTGACCAATGTATGCATTATGTAACCAATTAGGTATTCACCCTAACCGATTTAATTTCCGATTGCAGGAGACCTAATGAACACTAAGACCTCTGAAAGCTCACTGGTATAGTTAAAAGGTGTCACTATGGAGTCCACTGTGAATTTTGCATTGCATTTGTTGATACCTTCTCTTTTGGCTTTCTTTCCAAAACAAGACCAGAGATATAAGCTTGTTAATAGTTTTCTCTGGCAGTCAATTTTTCTGCAGCCATACTGATGCTTAAGATATTAGGTATTAATCTGAACTAATCCATTTATGAAACAATTGTACTAATCTGTCTTGAACTCACCTTTAATTTGTTACTTGCATAACAAGACAATAATTGGGGGATGTTTTCCTACTCGGTAATAAAATACTTTTAGCTGCTCACTTTGCCATTTCAAGTCTCCAATAAAACAAAGTAGAAATGTTCGCAGAGATTTTTTTTTACATGATGTCAGAAAATTGATCTTCGGAAAACTATTACACTTTCAGCAGTTGTTTTGCCCTGTCTCCTAGTCCGCTCTAAAGCACTTTTAACAGATCTCTGTCTCAATTTCTGTCCCTTGAGGTGCTGAATACAGCAGACCATGTGAAAGTAGCAGGAATACTACATCCATTATGCACCAGCGGACAACCCATTTGAAGAAACACGTATGAAACAAACCAAGCAGACGACAAATATTATTAAAGAAATGTCCTTTTAGTCCACTTTCGTATGCCCCGTGCTTGTGAAGTGTATCTTAGTCATTAAAATAGATGTTTACTATAACAAGGCACATAAAAACATCCTACTGTACCTTGGACGAGCTTTCCAAGTGACTGTACTGGACGGCATGGAGTTCGCCCACCTTTGATTTGACTTCTTCTTTGGTCTATGGAAGAAAAAGGAAACCATAAAAAACGACATTCTGTTACAATCTACCAACCGGACCTTCCAAAAATTAAGGTTCAAATATATAGTTTTATAATCCCCATCCAAAATTGCAGAAACAAATGCAGTCTATGTGATGTGGAATATCATGGATGTGATGTGATGTGATGTTCAACCCATACTCTATTTTTCACTCAAATGTAAAAGGTTACAAATCTAAGGAAACTATCTGGTCCAAATATATTGCATATATACAGTATATGAACACTGAGAAAAATATGAACACAGTGCTGGGCTTACTGTTAGTAATATGAATAGTAAGAGGAGGCTCATACTGTACCCCACATGGTTTTCAAAATGCTCACAGCCCAATTTCATCCCAATCCTTACCTTCCCTTGAGCGTGAGCTCAATATCAGTGTATATGGCTTAACCCACTCCGCAAGTTTTTAATAGAGGATCGATCATCAGGAAATGAAAGGACAAAACATCAGCGAAACAAGGACACGGAATCACCATTAGAAACTAAAAAGGAACTTATGCAGCACAGGAACAGGAAATGCTTCTTTACAAAAAGAGTTCTGGGTGCTTTGGAACAGGCTTTCCAGTCAACGACTGAAGCCCAAACTGTGGGCTCTTTTAAGAAATGGCTGGGAAAAAACTGATTCCCCGAGCTACTCAACTACCGTATGAACAAAATCGACTGAATGGCCTCGTTTTGCACATACTGTAAACCTTCTCCTTCAGCTCTTATGGCTGTGATGTGGGGAGTGTTTGGTAAGGGAATTTGAAGGAAATATGCTGTAAAGGTGCTCAAGTCAACCACAGCACTGAGAGAGTATTCACTGGATCGGTTTAATGCCACAGAGAACACACACAGCACATGGGATCTTCAGGATTTGGCTGTATTTTTTGTTAAATCTAGGATGATAAAAGTTCAATTCTGAAGAGGCTGGTTAAAAGGATTCTGTTGATTAATAATTAATGCCAAGGACTTTTATTACTTGCAGTTAAAAAAAGTAAACAAAATATACACTTGTATGACATTTACAGTAGAAATGAATAAAAACGCTCAAAACAGAAAATAATTAAATCTTGAAATGCTGTAACTATCAGTATGAGCAACACATTTATGAGTATAAGTATGAGCAACACATTTAAAGAGCTCATGGAAAAATGATGTGAACTGAGCACACATACACGGACAGTTTTGTGTATTGCAACATTACACTGAAATTGCTAAAT